AAGCAAGGAAACTCTAAAGAATTCTTTAGGGATTATTCGCAATGCAGTCTATGTGTTAAAAAGTTTTAATTCTCCTGTGGCATTTGCAGTTTCCATCAAAACTTTTCAAAACTTCAGCTGAACAGTGGCATTTCCTTTGTATAACTGGCTATACTTCATCTGAAAGAGAAATTAGTATCTGGAATCAGTACAGTAAACAAATTCTCTTTGTTTTACCACCACAAAAATGTAGCTCAACCTTAAAGATGCTCTGAAAGACGCCCCTCTGCTCTAAAGAATCTCTAAATCTTTAATCACAAAGTATAATTGTAAAATATTTCCAACATTGGTCTAAGTTCTGAGCTCATCAGGTCTCTCAAACTGCATAGCTGGTCCACAGGAGGAAAGTCAGGCTTGTCTCTCACATACCACTGTGTGGATTCCTGAAACTGCTTCTCCTTGTGCAAGTCCTCAGCAATGACCAGATACTAGGAGCCTGTCCTACTGCATTTTAAATACAGAGATTGGAATCAGCTCTGTATTTGGCTCATGAGTTGGAGGTACTTCAGGTGTTGGAGAAGCACACAAACACAAAACAAAAATCTTACCAGAATATTGGAGACTGGCTCTGTAAGAAGTCCACAATCTTCTGCCAGAGGCAGATGAGGATTTCTGAATTGCTGGGGTACCCCATCCTCTTCACCTATGTACAGAGATGGCTGTTGCCAGCAGTAAGACTTAGCATTTCAGGAGAGAAGTATGCAACTCTCCAAGTCACAAGACAACTAGACTGCAACACTGAGAGATCAACATAGTTACCTGTGCTGTTCTTCATATACAGAGTCCTTCCATGAACAAAAGTCAGATGCTGTGTAAGTGACAAACTGTGCAAACTTTCTCAGGGATGATTTTTCTATAAGAAACGTTAGAAGGCAACTGTTCAACCCCTGCTCTCACTCCCCCAAATCCAAACCCTCTCTTCTGTGACTTGAAGCCACCAGACACTTGGTAAAGTATGCTTTGATGCAGCCATTCCTCTACTGCACCTCCAAAGCATCAGTAATCTTAAAAGATCAAGCAATTGTGTCTTGATTCAGGAAAGCTTTCCCTATCTATTCTGTTCTGTAAAGGGCCTGACCCCATGTTTCAGTCCTTTAGTGAAGTTCTTTACTGAATAAGAAAGCACATAATTTAAAGCTTGCCCTTACACCCTTACTGAATCTGGCCCTGAATGGCCAAGCTGAGTATAAGCAGGAACAATGACTATCCAAATTCCAAAGCTTTTATTACAGGAAACCTGAAGAAAATATGAATGCTGGATGCAATATGGCATATTTCTGAAACATGCAGTTTGTAAACCCAGAATTTGAGCAATTTCTTGCACTGAATACAGGCAGTAAATTCCCTTGATATAAAGGCTGGTTAAATTTCATAAAATTATGGTGCTGTATTGGAGGTGTGTGGCAAGGTTTTAGGGGGGGAGGAGGTGGGCTACAGGGGTGGATTCTGTGAGAAGCTGCTAGAAGCTTTCCCTGTGTCCGACAGAGCCAATGCCAGCCGGCTCCAAGGCAGACCCACTGCTGGCCAAGGCTGAGCCCATCAGTGATGGTGGTAGCACCTCTGCGATAACGTATTTAAGAAGAAAAAAAACCAAAAACAAACCCTGCTGCAGAACAGTAGCCAGAGAGAGAGAAGTGAGAATCTGTGAGAGGAGCAGCCCTGCAGCCCCCCAGGTCGGTGCAGCAGGAGGGGCAGGAGGGGCTCCAGGCGCCGGAGCAGAGATCCCCCTGCAGCCCCTGGGGCAGCCCATGGTGGGGCAGGCTGTGCCCCTGCAGCCCAGGGAGGCCCACGGGGGAGCAGATCTCCACCCACAGCCCGGGAAGGACCCCATGCCAGAGCAGGGGGGTGCCCAAAGGAGGCTGTGACCCAGTGGGAGGCCCGCACTGGAGCAGGCTCCTGGCAGGACCTGTGACCCCTGGAGAGAGGAGCCCAGGCTGGAGCAGTTCATGAAGAACTGCAGGCCGTGGGAAGGACTAATGTTGGAGAATTTGGTGGAGGACTGTCTGCCATGGGAGGGACCCCAGGCTGGAGCAGGGGCAGAGGGTGAGGAGTCCTCCCCATGAGGAGGAAGGAGCGGCAGATACAGCATGTGATAAACTGACCCCAACCCCCATTCCCCATCCCCCTGGGCCGCTGCAGGGTAGGAGGGAGACAATTTTCACTTTTCGTTTTATTCTCTGCTACTCTGATTTGACTGGTAATAAATCAAGCTAATTTCACCGAGTCTGTTTGCTCATGAAGGTAACTGGTGAATGATCTCTCCCTCTCCTTATCTCAACCCATGAGCCTTTCAATATATTTTTGTCTCCTCTGTCCAGCTGAGGAGAGGAGTGATAGAGTGGCTGTGGTAGGCACCTGGCATCCAGCTTAAAAGCTGTCTTATGCCTAAAGGGCAAAAGAATAAATGTGCATTATTCATGTGAACACAATTTGACTATCGGGCAATTTGGTCTACAAACTGGAGGTAACAATCCTATCAACTAAAACACAATGTATAGTTTTACTTCTTTGTTTTTCTTACAGTAAGTGCTAAACATGATGGCTCCTAAAATTACTGCAAGTGGATGTTTTGAAATACAGTTACAGTTTGGTTTAGTTTTTGTACATCTTGCCCCACTAGCTTAATATAGTGCACCATGTAAAAAGCTGCTGTGTTGATGTAAAACTGATGCATATGAAATTTCATCAGTCACCTGTTTCTGGGTCCAATATATGTAAATTCTTTGGCACAATTCAAACAAGGCCTTTTCTTGCCCAGGCTCCATTACCAGGTAAGTGGATATTTTGTTCTTCTGGAATATGCACAGGGATTCAATAAAACTGCTGCTGTGCTTCTCTTAAAACATTACATACTCCAAAGTACATGCAATTAAACAGTGCGACAGTAATTCACTCCCTCATCATATCTGTGTTGTTAAAATTATAAATGAGCCAATAGAGACATTCACAAACCACACAGCAGACATTGATGATGCCACATTACTCTTTAAAATGAGGACATTATGAAACTTAGAACTGTGTATAAAATCAGAACTAGATTTGATAATGTAGATCTGAGTACTCTGTGTCTGAGTTTAAGTCAGTTTATAGCTGAATACATGTGGGTATCGGTTGTGATCGCCAGGTTATTAGCTGAATTTTTGACATTTAGATGTCGATTATGCTGGCTTTTGGAATTGGATTGATTTTTACAACAGAATGTCATTACAGCGCTTGCAGTGACATCAAGAACAGAACTTCAGCTTGATCTTCCTCTACAGAAGCTCATTAGAGATTCACATAAGAAGACAACCGACACGTGCTATTGCCATGGAAACAAGACAGAATATTACGAAGCCGTATAGCCCATATTCCAAAATAGAGAGGACAAAGTCAGAGCAATTATAGCTCAAGACTGACAGGCTTTTTATTTGCAGCCTGTATGGGTCAAAGCGAAACTTAGCTCCTGCTCTCTGAAATAAAAATCACCAGTGCAGTTTTAGGACTCTGGTTTCAATTCCTCCTTTTCAAACACAAAAACTCAAGCCAGTTAGTTTAGTTTGTGTTGTATGGGAGGCAGGAGGCTGAATAAGGAGGCTGAATGGCATCACAGCAGGTGTGTAGGTGTGATGATGTACAAAGAACAGACATCACCGAACTGATAGAGGAGTGAGTCAAGTTTGAGCCAGGCAGCGAGGTACTGATAGAACAGAGGTGAGCAAAACCAACAGAAGCTGAACATCTGGTACATCATTGAGATGCAGAAGAAAGGCTAGTTCCAAAGGCAATAGCTAGCCAGCACCAGTGGCCAGAATGCAAAGAATAACCGTTCTTGTGATTCACATTAAATAGGTGAGTCTCATGTGCCTAGATAACGAAATCCTTTTGGACATTCTGGACGTATTGTATGTATACGCTATGTAGGCAGTCCAACTTTCCAAGCTTCTGCTTGTGACTACATACACAGAAAGTTCTTTAAGGCATCTAAACCAGCTCTGTCTGGTCTAAAGAGAGTTTTCACCATTTTAAGAGTTTTGACCATTGTCTCTGACTAAAGAGTGCTAGCTAGAATGCACGTATTTTTTTGTGTTTGATGACAGTGCCAAAAAAATGTAGGAATTCTATGCTAATGGAAGCAAGAAATTAGAGGAAATATTTTACCCTTCTAGTAGAAAGCCTGTGACTGCCTTTTCATTCACACACTGGTTCTTCCTTTAAGAAACATATTTAAATTCCAGCCAAAGGCCTAGGAACCGAGGGTCTGTTGTAATCACTTTGAGCAAAGCGACTGTGGGCAAAACATAGCTTAAGAAAGATAAACAAAGAGAATAATAAGGTTTTAAGGAGCATTCATCGAGCCTTGGAACGTTGTGCCGTGAATTTGCCACTACAGAGAGTCACTGTGAGATTCAAAAACACGAAAGAGAATGATGAAAGGGAAAAATACTACAGTATGCAGAAAGCTTGTGAGTGCCTAAGTGAACCAGGCTTTGGGAAGCATTCCAATGCCTGCATATGACATGTGTGGTATGCCACTATTAAATTATTATAAACTCCACAAGTTGTCATCCACTTAAGGAGCTCATGTTTCTGCCAAGTTAAATGACTTCAAAACTCATAGGTTACATTCACTCTTTCAACTCTGGTTCATTCTTGACTGGTTCTGTTTTGATTGGAAAAAGCAGATAAAAGACTCTGTGATTTTGGGAGAAGAATCTGAACGTAATATGAATCTTTGTTGCAAAATTTTATTCCAGTAAAATGTACAAACTTTAATAGTAGTGAGTACCTCTATGAGAAGCAAAACCCCAAACACTTTGTTAAAAAGAAGAATACCAGATCAATTTTTTCACTAGCACCAGGCAAAGAGATAAAATGTGATGATATAGTTGACAAAAATACTGGAGAATAACATTCTTTCTCATCTTTGCGTGTAGACTTTCTTTCCCAAACTGTGAAACACAATTCAGTAGTGCTAGCCTTTACTTTTTTTTCCCTAAACCTTTTCCATGCTTTTTTTTGTGTGCAGTTGAGCTTTTCCTCTCTTGCTCTGCTTGCAGGACTGCTTCATGAGCTGCCAACTCTTCTTGTTTTATGCGCTCAGCCTCTAGCAGCTTACTTCTGTATGCTTCCCGAATGCTGTGAACTCTGCCTCGTGTTTCATCTAAGGATGCCTAGCCAAAAACAAAGAGCAATACCCCCCTGCCATGAATCTTGATTTAATCACAAGCAACCACATCCTTCCTGTTATGTTTCACCTAGCAACTCTGTAAGTACAGGGAGAGCATCTCTCCTTTTCTTTTTACATGTATTTTTATTGATTTGTCACAGTGACACAGCTATATGTCAATCTTTTCACCATGAAGAAGAAGAAAAAGTTCATGAAAATTCTTTTTAAATTGCTGACATAATAAGCTAATTGTGTGAAAAGAGGATGGGGCAACAGGCTAGTTACCCAGCTGGGTCTTGTCCCTCTTCAGTACTGGTTCGCTTTGTTGTCTTAAACAAGTCCCTTAAAACCTAGTTTTCAGAAATGGCTTAGGAGCTCTAGTCTTTCAAAAGATTAAGGAGCCTAAATCACACTGACCTGCAACGAGACTTAGGGCAAGTGGGACACTTCTGAAAACTTTTTCCTTTACATTTCCATTCTGGAAAATGGGGATACCTGGATACCTTTATATACTTGTCTGTGGTCTACAGAAGAAAAAACTGTAAAAGTGCTAATCAGCACAGTATGCATATTCACAAGTAACTCCCATTTTAAATTTGTACTGTGAAACATCTTTAATGGACATACATTCTAGAAAGAGACAAGGAACGTCTCTTAATAAAAATTTGCCCTTATAATATTTTATATATATAAATATATATAAAAATATATATATTATATATGATATGGGATCCAAAATCATAGCAACATCTGAAAAACTGGGTATGTGTTCTTATTAGGATCAATCAGTCATTGGTAGAGGACTATGACTCCTTGCAGACTTGTAGTTAAGTAATATGAATCAGGCTGTCGGGGAACTTGTTAAGGAGAGGTTTTCAAGTGATTTCTGTAAGTAGTTTTAAGAGCTCTGAAAAATCACCAGCTGATTGCCAGTGGTTATTGTATGACCACTACGTAACAAAACATTTTGTTCCTATTGACACTCAAGGGTTAAGCCAGTTTTGTTAAGATATTCGTACTGTACCAATGTGCAATGCATTGGCTGAGTTAATCCCAATAATGGATTTTACACTAATGCTACCAAATGCATTATTTATAGACATGTTTTTTAAGGATTTATAATTCCAATTTTTCTGTTTGTTGGCATCATGCATATTGTAGGAAAACTGTGTTCTCTAACTTTGCTGTAAAACACATTAGGAGCAACTCGCCCTCATATGTAATTTATCCTGTTCTTTATTACTCTCCAAAAAGCCCTATAAAATTCTGTAGCCAAAAAAAAATAGCTAAACCAGAGATGCTTTATCTAATAAAGAATATTCTACTAAGAAGATCATATTGAGAATGTTGTGTAGTACTATTTTTTTCCCTAGAACCTTTAGTTTTATCCTTTGCCCAAGTGAAATTTCAAGGTTGTTCACTCTTTCTAATTATTGGTACTGAATACAAAAATCTTGAGAATGGTTGATCAAGATATTCATGCTAGTAGTGGATATCACAATAATAGTTACTGGAAAGTAATATTGAAAACCTACCTGCAGATTCTCATACATTTCAAGTATATTTTGCTTCAATAAAGCTCTGGCATTTTGTTCTTTTTCTCTTTGTTCCAAAGCCAGCTCTCGAAGTTCCCTGAAATGGTTAATTTTTTCTGCTTTACATATCTCCTGCTGTTGAATGATGGACTCATTTCTTAATGCAGACTCAGACATTGTTTTTCTGAAGGAAAGACAAAGAAATTTCTCTCATTTCAAATACAGTTTTGGGTGGTATATATTTTGCTTAACACCTATGTATATATGTTTGGCTTATATACCATTGTATGGTTAGATACAGTTAAGGAGTCACTTTTCTTCTGGTTATATGTAACACTGATGAGAAAGTACATTCCTGAGGCCAGGTCTTCTTATACTTCAGTGTCTATTTTAAAAATATTTGTATAATCATGCTCATCTTTGAGCATATGAAAAAGTCCTACATGTGAAACTTATTTTTAATTTGCAAGAAATATCATATTTCCAGAAGTTTTTGTATTGTAATTCACCATTGAGACAAATGTTTTTTGGTTTGGTTTTTTTTTGCCATTTGCATAATGGCAGCTAAGTGGATAATTGTCATGGTTTTTATAATTTTTCTTAAATGCCTAATGTAATAGTCAAGGAGTTGAAGACAAATGAAATGCTTGCAAGACACAGGCCTGTGGGAGACATTTTGCCTTATTTTCTACTGTTTTAATGTTATTCACTTCAATATAACACCAGTTTCGTTTTCAATTTAAAATTAAATTTGGGGAGTTTTTCAGCATGTTCTAAGGTCTTTTGAAAATCAATGAGCTGCGTAAATGCCACACTGAATACAAATAGACTTAAGCAGGAACCGGGTTCTAGCTGCAGCACAGCAAACATGCCGGTGCATGTATATTAGCTAGATAGGTTCATATCAACACATGTAATAAATAATATAGTTCTTTTGAATAAAGAACCTAATTAATAAAATTATTTCATCTATTAATTATTAGTAGTAACTGAACTGCATTAGTTAAGTATATTATTTGAATCTAGCATCACATCCGGACAAACTTCATATGTACTTTTAAGATGACCACTGAAATAAACATATTTTCATGCACATATATTTTCTTTAAATTTTTATACCACATTCTCATTACATGCAGTGCAGTGATTCAGCTCCTTTGACATGTATTATGTTAAGGAAAGGACATAAATTATACATGGATGCAGGAAAGCACAGTTTTTAAAACACATCCATGCCAGGAAAACCAGAGCTGAGAACACTATCTTGATGCCATCTACACTTCTGTGTTCACTACTGAGTGATTTTGTGTGCACAACATAAAGGACAGACAAAACATGGGCTGGGATTTTCACAGCAACTTTAACAAGCATGTGACAGAATTGTAGCTTACATCAGTGATGTGAAGGGTACAGTCTAAATTCACATCTATTATACTGCATCCAATTACAGAGAGGATACAAGTGCTTAAAAATATATAGCATTTACTAATTTCTATATATGAAAATGCTTAGCCAGTCTTTCATTTTGGTGTTTCACTGGGACTTCATCATTTTTGCTGCAGTTTACCTCATGTAAGGACCAAGGTCTATAGGCTCCCATTTTTTTTGCTGTGTTTGTAAGCTTGAGTGAATAGCTGCTTGTGATGCTTTCTTTCCCGTGGTAAAAGAATCTATAACAGAACAGATTCAACTGGTTATGCAGTCACACTAGGAGGCTCCACCTAAATTCTTATATAGTATTTTCTTTTTTTTTGGCTCAGCAAAATACGTTATTACATGAGCCATGACCAGATACTGCCACAATCAGACTGGGTATTACACTTCCCTCTTTGTGATGGCCTGGTCTCGGCATTATTCTCAGAAGAAAAGAAACAACAAACAGCCTTGTAGCCTTGCACCCAGTTCAAATTTTCATCAGAGTACAGTAATTGCCAGGGAATACAAATGAAGAATCCATAGAAGTTGCAACCACTAAATAAAATCAGACAACGCTTATGGAAGCTGCCAGGAAGCTGATGCTACTCAATGTGCACCTTTTGACACCTCACGTCCAAAGCACTGTCGATGAACAGTTTCCATGAATGTTAATATAAAGAAAATGCACATTAGAAGTACTGGTGTCTTACTGGCATGCTGTTTCAGCTGCCAAATAATTTTTTTTTTAATATTTTCACACTAATGACCTCTGGTACCCAACTTGGAATTGAGGGAGTAGATATTTTCCACTGAACTTCCAAAAATTTCAGGTTAACTTAGGGTTAGAATTCTAGTACAGAAGGACTGCCTAAAGTTTGCTTAATGGTAACTTGGCAGCCTCCAAGAGTCGTGAAGCTGTATCTGTGTTTGAAAATAGAGCAACACAACAATAAACACAAAAAAGGGAGAGAGAAGATAGAGACTAAGCATGCCATTGTGCATTTGGAGAGCTTTATTGGGGCTGTTCTATCTGTTTACTACCAGTAAATGCAGAAGTCTTGTCTAAGGAGATGAACATGATGAACATGATAAACCGAAGACATGCTTGACAGAAAAGTTATACTCTTACCTCTTTCTCCTGAACTAGGTGTTAAACTGGCAGTCTCAGTCCCAGCTATGGGCTCCTCTGAATCTCTCACAACATACTTATTGATAAACCGCATGCGTTCTTGAAAAGCCTAGAGGTCAAAGTTTTAATCCAGATAAGAAAACTTCTACTGCATACTTTAAACCTCATAAAATTTTCAAAAGTAGGAATCTGTAAGTGGTCAATGAGATAGTAAGTCTTCAAATCCAGTGCATGTGAGATATGATGCTACTTCATATTACTGGTGAGCATATTTCACCAGTTTGATCTATGAAAACATCACCTCTAAGAACAGGAATACCATTAGTGAGTTACTGGAGAGAGAAAAAATAAAGGTAAGAGGACCACATTTCATGTCAGAGTCATATTCAAGCCATCTCACCAATAGATTTTTTATTCCTGGATAATAACCTGTCAACATTAAACATCCAATTTTTCTAGTAATATTTTGGAACTTTTACTTGTTTAATTTTAATGTGTTGTGTAGAGGAGAAATAAATTAGCATTAGTACTTAAAGTTCATCTTTAATTTCTATCAAGTGTGTCTTGAGTATATGAATAAGGATCCCTAAGTAAACCTTTGTGAGATGGAAGTTCAGTAAAATGAAAAGTAGGCAGTGTGCTTTGAATGGTTTCACTCCACTCAATGCATCCTGACTATATTTAGTACACATCCCAAACGAGAAAACGATGCTGTCAATAACAAATCTAACATCGGAGTGCAGTATGCAACTCTGCCTGGGGCTGGAATGAGAATAGATGCGAGGGTTCCCATTGAATCAGTCCTGAGACATTGAATACTTACACTAAAGATCATCATGCAATGAAATATTGGAAAATCACTGCTCTCTGGGCAGTTTAAAATAATCGTTGGATTTTAAAAAAAATAGGCCACTGAAAAGCTAGGTTGCCTCATAGCTGAATGTATGGTCAGAATACATGCGGGTACTGCACCTCCTCAGGGAAATAGCATTTCCTCCTAGGAGCTCCTATAGCCTGGTGATTTAAACTTCCTCCCAAGAAATGGGAGCTATGCGTGCAACCCCTTCCAGGCTCAGTTACCCTTCTTGCCAAAACTAGGCATCACCACTTCTGCCTGTCTTTTCAGAAGGTGACTATGACTCACTGGGCTTTCTCTTAAGGGCTCAGGTTGCCAGAATGGATGGAGAAGCCAAAAGTCAGCCTGGAGCACCTAATTCCCAGAGTCAGAGGGCATGTGACCCCTGGAACAGGCAGATGTTGGGGCAGGATGATCAGGAAGAGAGAAGGGAAGCTACTTAGTCTGAATAGCAGACCCCCAATTTAGACCACCCTTTTTTAGTGCATTACATGCAGTTGCTGCAATTTTCTTAACTATAGCTGTTTTAGAAAAATGTCACAGACCTAAGGGGCTTTTAAAATGGAACCCCTTAGCTGTAATTCAGTTGATTTTCTGATCAAAAAAGGCTATGGTGACAGAACCAGAATTCTAACGAGACTCTTTACACATCAAAGGGCATTCGTTTCCAGCTAATCTTTAGGAGGCTGTACTTGCATTTTCAGTGTCAGCACAGCCAATCAAAGCTGCACAGTAATGCATCTCTCCTTAGCTCAGAATTTAATAAAGTAGTGTCAGAAAAAAAATTGAGCTTTGGATACACTGAAGAGAACTGAGAAAATCTGAAAAATCTGAAAAAAAAAAGACCCATGCCTGACGTTCATTTCTGAAAGGTAATATAAAAAAGGTAAAATGCTTCTGAGCTGGGGTTTCTGGCTGAATATCCCTCAATGGTCAATGGTGGTGGTGGTGATAGAGGATGACTGTCAGGTAAGTTGTTCTTTTATTTTCCTTTTTTTTTTGGTAGTGATGCTTCCAATTCTGAATGAGCAGTATAACTTTTTGCTTTGCAAGAAAGAACTTCCATTATTTTTCCATCTTAAGCATACATCATGTCAAAAGAGCCCAGCTGCAGCTGACACCTGAATTAGTATTGCTTCTCCAAAACAGTGAATTCGTACAGAGCAGCATATACAGGCTCACGGGTAACCCGCAACCCAGAATGGATTTGGGAATCCTGGCTGCAGGGGACAATTTGAGTGATGATATGGCCAGGTGCCAGTTCTTCAAGAGAAATCTTTTTGGCATGTTTATAACAGTGTATTTCTCACTAGAAGCTGTTCATGCTAAACATTAAACTTGTCACAAGTAGCAGCTTTGCAGTTGCATAGAGGTAATGGGCTTTCTAAGGACAAACTTTTCTCTGTTTTGTAAAGTAGAATCTGAAGTCTCAGTGACCTACGGAAGTCTAAAGCAGATGATCTGGATTCCTGCCCAGAATTCACGCACATAATCGCTTGATTCCTTAAGCTGTGTAAAATTGCCTGTCTTCCAGAGAGTGGTGAAGAGGACCATATGAACTCAGGTCTCTGTTGTGGCAACTGCTCTACCATGACAGCAGCTCCTGGAACTTGTGAAGAAATGTTACTGCAGAGATTGCACTCTGATATTACCTTGATAGCTCTTCCCGGCTCTGCAGACTCCCATGCCTGTTTCATGGCTTTGATCTCATCTGCTCGCTGGGTGTCTTTCTTCACTTCCAGAATGTCTGCCTCTCTCTGTTCACTAACTAGACGTAAAGTCCAGTACGGTTTGTTTGAAGCAGCTTGCTGAAAGTGATGTATCATAAACATAATGTATTCATTGGTATACATCTACTACCGCTATTTAGGATGAAGTGACATTTCTGTAACCTGGTAATTTTCCCAAGTGATATACATTATACATTGATAGACTTTGACATGCATTGTGACATCAACAGTGGCTGCCAAAGGAAAGGAAAATTACTTTGCAATGTCTAGAAGCTCTTTGAGGTATTTTGTTTACATGCTTCCCCCCACTGCCATACAGCATGCTCCACACTCCCAGTTCTTCTGAACAGTCTGTCTGAACATGAGTATTCTGTAGCAAATTTTCATGCAATTGTCTTATCTCCCTGCCAAGCTTTTCTCCTTCCCTCCTTTCCTTTCCTTCCTTCCACAACCTTTTTTACTAGAAGTCTTATTATATTTAACTAGGCTTTTTGTGGAGAAATACATCTTGCTCTGTCTTATGAGGCATCAGGTTCTTTCCAATGATTTCCTGAACCCTCTAAACCCCTTAACACATGGCTTCTCCAGAGCCATAGGGTACAAGTAGTGCCTGAAATGTAGGAGACTATTCTGCTGTCTGACCAATGAATGAGATATTGTGCTGCATATGTTTCTGGAAACCACACCATCTGCAGAAGCTTTAAGCCCAAGATTTAGAAGTAGAGATAGGAGTTCAGCTTTTATTTGAGACTAAAGGTGGGCATCTTCTTTATCTACAAGCAGTCCCATTTTGAAGCTTGCATCTGTTTTAGTGACAGACTGAAGAACTCCCAAGAACCATCATCCCAGTACCCCCAGCGCACCCCATAATTGGAGCTGAAGGCAGATATCTGACACAGCCACAAGCTGCATTGCATTGCTGTGGCCAACTATCTGAACTGCAGTCACTCAGACTGCTCTGAAAGAAGAGTTAAGGCACTATTCTGGAACCCTGTATAATTAGGTGTGGATATGAATCATGGGGAAGTTTGCTGTGCAGCAGGTTTAGTCATCAAAACAATCCAGTAGAGATTTCTTCATGAAAAACTCTATGGAGATGCCCTCCCCTTGAACTACCTGCCATGAGGCAGCAAAATTGCCAGCGAAAGCAATACCATTAAATGAGGAGCTGTCAGTTTCTTCTTTGCCTTCCATTAATCTGTTTGCAATCCATAAAGTCAATTATTTCTTTTAAGGCATACAGGCTGGCAGTAGCCTTTTGATCAACCACAGAACACTCAGATTATCCCACCACAGATGAGAAGAATTTGCAAGTAGGCACCAATTTTTCTGCCATTGTATGTCCGCAAGCTAATGACAATTGTGACATACGAGACAGGAGCTGACTACAGCGGAAAGACCTATTTCATCTCCCTGGGGACCCCTGAAAACCACTACAATGAAGAATTAGCGGGACATGAATATGGTGAATTCATGGAGTTTAATAAACCTCCAGGAGAGACTGAAACTAGACCAACAAAAGGAACATCCAATAGTTGCTTTACAGATAAACAAAGAAATGAGCACATTAAATCTCTAAATGCCGGATGCAAGTTTTTTACATGTGCAATTCAGTCTCTCTCAGGTGTAAAGCTAAAAAGGTGGTAAAGCAGGGCACAGAGAATTGCAAGAGATACACTAGAAGTGCTAGTAAAACTGATCTCCAGACCTGAAAATATCTTTACACTCAGCACAGTGACAACATATTCAACAAATCCAGTTTTGGGCTTTGTTCTCACCTGCGATTCAGGTCGAGATGCAAGAGATACAAGTGATCCTCTTTCTTTACTGGACTTCTCTTTTTCTGTCTTCTCCGATGCTTTCTCTTTTGATTTTCTGGTTGGTTTAGGAATACTTGCAGACTTTTGTCCTTCAAAATCATTGAGCACTGGGGGAAAGCTGTGCTCCTCGTGCTTTTCTCCGTGTACTACTCAGAGGTAGTTATGATGCAGGATGAATTAGAGGATACCATTGCAATCCATAAATATATTTCCCCATATAATATCCAGGGTGGAATAACAGCACAAAACAGCCATAAAGAAAGACAAAGAAAAGCCAGTTAATTAGTTTACACTTTCAAGTAATACACTAACATTTATTGTTGGACCAAGAAAGAATCTGGGGACAAAACAACTTTTAAAAACAGACTTACAAGGTGGATGTATCCTGACAGCTTTATGTGTCCTAAATAGCACTTTACCTTGGGTTTAACTGTGAGTTTGCCATGGTCCCTGCACATCAGTCACTGCATTGTTGCCTTGTCTATGGGTCAGTCCAAAGACTGTGATGTACAGAATCACAGTCTGATGCTTACTTCTCTTATATAGTCTCATACAATCTCTGTCAGTGTTACGCACCAGGCAGGTGAGAAGCTTAAAAGTAGGTAAAGTCAATGTTCTCACTGTCTCATATCCTGAAAGTGTGAAGTGCAGAAGGGAAGATACGCCCCACCAAAATTGCAAGGAAGTTAGGGCAAAGAAACATATTTGAGATTTGATACATATTTAAGAAATTCAAAATTATCATTCCTAGAACTATCCAAGAATATTTTTGATTAATTATTTTATCAGTACATATGTATACTATGTGTATGCTGTATGTTCGAATTAAAGATACTGAGAATTGACATTTGTAACTTATTCTGCACTGTCTTAGATGGTGGTAACTGTTAACAAGACCTTTTACATGTCATATTCCTGTTTAAATAAATAAATAACTAAAGCCTGTAATAACGTATAGCTTTAATAGCATAAGGAAATTGTCAGCTGAAACAACCTGGAATGGACCTACAACACTATGAGAAAGAGTAAAGATCTGAGTCTGAAACCCGTTTCTCTCCACTTTCATACTGCTTGAAACATTAAAACAAATGCTGAAAACCTAGATTTAGTCAATACAATAAAACAAGAGATTTCTTTTAGAAAAAAGAGGAAATGAGTAACTGTTTTACAATCTGACAATAATAACGAGGTACCTTTCACTTAATGATATGCTTTTCTAATCTTTCCACTGGGGACGAATCACTGCTGCATGATTTGATCCAAAGTCCACTGAAGATATTCCACTGGCTTTAATGAGCTTTGGATCAGATCTGCAATGTCATGGCTGAGGTTATATGGATATATAAAATTGTAAATATTAAATATATAGAAACATATTTATAATACAAATATAACTATACATACAAATATATATTATATGATATGTATGTGTATTACATCATACTGTATACATGTCTTTATGCATAAATTGTATTATACTTATCTCCTCATGATACTTAAATAATGTACAATGGCACCAAAATGTTAAGCTTAAATTGATTCAATGTTACCACACATACATTAAACAATGAAAGCAAAAATTAAAGTGGCCTCCACAAATATTGAAGATACTAAAACAACTCCAGAGGAAATGCAAATATAAAATAAATAGTGATGACATTATTTGAAGTTATAATATCATTTCATAAATGGCTTTCCATTTAATTTCACATTATCATAACATATTAGCACCATAAATCAGGCTGGTGTACATGCATTAGTCAGTGAATTATTAAGTTTTAAAGGTAAATTGTTTATTGTTTATACAGACACACAAGAGACATTCAGTGTCATTAGCTAAATGATAGCAGACAAAGACTTTCTATGTCATGGGATACCACAAGCTTTGTCTGGCTTCTATAAATATTTTACAACTCTGAATTTAACATTTTGGTGCTCTGGACTTATTGCATACACTGAGAAGTTAGTAAATACAAACAAGCATATGAAATGACAGGGCTAAAATGAGGTATCCTGCTTTAACTCCAGGTATGAAGGCTTAGGGCAGGATTCAGCTGGGTGCTCATAGCTAACTGTCCAGGTTCCCCCAGCCCTCCTCCCTCCCTCAGCAGGGCGGGCAGTCTCCCCAGTTTTGGGATCATCCTCCAGATATCCCTGGAGCAGGCACTGGCTGCAGTTTGGCAGCATGCAGCCCACTCAGACTTGAAGGGAGGTGCATGTAGTTCCTCCGGGCTTTTCCAAGGCCAAGGTCAGGCAAATGCTTTGTATGGAAGGTGATAAGAATAAAGGCAGGGAGACAATACAGAAAGTAAAAGGCCATTCCAGCTCACAGCTTATGCATCAATCATCACAAACTCTCAGGGGCAGATACTGTATATGTATGGCACCAAGAAAACCTTGGGCATCACACCAGTTGACAGTGATGACAAACAGCTAATAGCAACTCTTAAAATCAGCTTCTTTACCACTTCTCAATTATTTACTCAGAGATTCATTTAGTCTAATGCCAGAAGGGACCACAGTGATCATCCAGTCTGATGTCCTGTTTATGACAAGCTAAATAATTACACCAAATGATTCCTATCTGAAACTCATAAATTCAGATTGAGATACAACAACTGTCTTTTTTAGGAAAGCGACAGCTAGTCCTGATTTATGAAATTCAAATTACAGAGAACGTATCTTATTCATAAGTAAAATACACAGGGGTCTTTTGAAGTTTTCTTTGAGAAGATATCATCCTCCCACTATCTGAAGTAGGCTCTGAGCATTTAGTGGGATTACCCAGTAGGTGGCTGAAATTACTCTTATTTGCCCCCTGAGAGGCTTTCAGATTTGGTTAGGAAATCACCAAGAAGTTCAGATGTTGCTTTTCCTGTCTCTGACTTTCAGAAGGATTCTCAACAGATAGCAACGTCAAAACAACCACTTTCTAATTTCTGTGTACTTGAATGCCTGGTGAATGCCTTTTTAATGTTTTGTTTGTGCAATGTGCTCTTTAATAAAACATCTAATGAGATTTCATATATAATAAATATGACTAAATATTAGTCATGAAATAACTTTTGCTAACACATTTTTTTACAAGTACTGCCAAACTGCAGTATTAAGGATTTTGAAGACAGAAAAGAGTAACAAACATCAACAAATACAAAATACAAAATTATCATAGCTTCTGTATGCTGGAGAACTTACTTTCTTAAAAAAATATTCTTAATAAATATTTACGATATAGTGAATATCAATAGTATAATACTATGGGTCTTCATTTAAAGGGAGACTAGTTTAAAATACTTTAGTAAATGCTAATGCAAAACTGAAATATGCGTTTGCCATGATAAATTAGCTTTAATATAAAACTAACTCCAGATGGCACTGTTGTCTTACATGAAAAAATGATACCTGAAATGGTGAACATTTGTTGCAGTGATTTTCCACCTGGCTCACTACAGCTTTCTTAAAAATCATATGGTGAGAGGATGACTTTTTGGTTACACACCAACATTTCTATTATATGAATTGTGTGCTTGACAACTGGTGCTGGCAGCTTTAGATGGTAAAGCTCATGTTTCAGATTGCTTGAAGACTGGTTCACAATCAGAAAAAGATTCAAAGACCAAATGTTGTTTTTTCCAAAATACCTACCTATAGCAAGCACTCCAGATAAATATTGCTGTTAATAGAGGTACATAAAATACGTGCTAAGTAGTAAATAAAGTAAGTCTGGTGTTTAAACTTTGTGATTTATGTTGATTTTAAATTCTGTTAGTGGCCTGGGCAATCTGTTGGTACCCAGAACAGATAAACAGAAACACTCAGTTAATATGAAATGGGAAATGGATTTGGGTTACTTCGAAAGGCAGCAATTATGAGAGGACATAGAAATAACAACATTTAAAAGGAATCCTAAGAGAAAAGGTGCTCATTATCACTGACTGTGGCTTGAGTATGGGTGACTGCAAATGAGCCAAAGCATCAGCCAACATGGAGAAGGGAAGCCAGGAACTGGAATACTGCTACTGTGAACTGAACATGAGGGTACTCGTGACATTGACAGGCTTCAGTAATAACAGCTCAGAACTAGTGAAGAAACTTAGAGATTAAGTGACCTCCTTTGACCCACAGTTTTACAGGCCATGGTGACAGCTGTATGAAAGGGTACACACCAGTATGAAAGGGTACACACCAGTTGCATGACCGGTGTGTTAAGTGCAAGCTGTTCTTATGTAGCTGACTCAGAAGGATAAGACAATGTAACGGGATGTCTATTGTAAGAAGCAGTCTATCATTAAATGGTGTGTTAAGTGCAAGCTGTTCTTATGGATAAGACAATGTAACAGGATGTCTATTGTAAGAAGCAGTCTATCATTAAAGAGAAAATGAGGACAATAAATGGGGTCATCTAGGAAGAAGGGATGATTTTGTGAAGAATGCAACAAACTAAAAGCAGGTGAAATCACGACTAAAAAAGCTGTGTACGTGACATAGCTCCTCAAATATTACTAAAACTAACTAGGGCCTATGGCAAATCAACAAGATACATCTTTGTAAAGTTCTGTAACACTAGCTGAAAAGCAGACCGCAAAAATCTCAAACGTTCCACTCATCTTAAAAATAAGAAATGAAACAATATATGTCAGCAATTACTGCTGACAAATCTAACTTCAGTCCAGGGTAGTAGAAATTGAAAAAAAAAAAAAAACAAACCAGACATTTAAAAAGAAATATGTAAACAGAGTAAGAAGTGAGAAATACCACTAATAAATAAAGATCAAATCTTCCTAAGAAAACTTAAGGGTATTAGCAAGTGTATATATATGAGGAATAATGCAAATTATTTCTCCTTATCTCGTATTTTTAAAATTGAGTTATAGAGCTTTGATATTTTTAAGGGTATTAGCAAGTGTACATATATGAGGAAGGATAATGCAAATTATTTCTCCTTATCTCATATTTTTAAAATTGAGTTATAGAGCTTTGATATTAATGATACAGGAAATTTACGGAATGGTGGAAAATAATATTTTAGGTTCTGCAGGAATTTAGGGGCAAGAGCACAGGGGAGTCAGCTGCGTATGTGCATGCATGCGTGTGATGGTCTGCACCAGCAGCTGGAGTGGGGCTGCAGCTTCACAAGCTCATACGG